AAAAAGTGTTATGTTCGTGACAAAAAAGTAAGTTAATACTATTTATTAAAAATCTAAAATGTAATATTTGAGCGAATATATTAATTTGTTCACAGTGTCGTTACATAATATAACAGCATGACATATATAAATCTGACGCTCTAACTCAAGCCAACAAACATGAATTTTGTACTGCGTTCGTCATATAATCTCATAAATGTTGTATTTATAATAAGGTCAATATGACTAAATTAATTTTTTGACATATTAGCATGATATTGAAAAAGACTGTCGTACAGTCGAAACGTTTATCTTATCTTTTGTATATTATGATGTAAATTAATAAAAAATTTTTTAATTAATATCATATAAGCTCGTTAAGTTGGCCTTTTATTTTATCACATATTTTAATTGTATACGAGCCGAAGTTAATTTATAAAATATATATATTCATAGTAAGATTACGTAACTGTATGTGACACTGACAGTCGCAAGCTGTCCCAGGGACAATCAGTTTGTCATAATTGACTGGTTTACAGTGTGTTATAATATTTCTGACTAAGAGCCTTATATTTGTCTAGTATTTCTCTTTTCTTTTCTCTTCTCTTCTTCTTTTACATATACTTTGTTTATATAAGAACTTATAATCGTACCATTATAACTGACTTTGACGCTTGTGGTATGGTGGTGCGTGGTGTTTCTCCTTGAGGTTATGCGTGCTGTCCTCATGCTACGTGGATAGGATATTCTCCCTGCCACTGCATGGCTGGCATGCGATTGATCCTGGAGAAACACATATGAATATACATATAAACAATTATTATTAGTCACTTAAAGATACTAAATTTTATGATGCTATACAATTACGATACTTACAAACATGGTCTTATCCAGTGGAGATGGATCAATAATCAATATTTCTGTTAAACAACGGCAGAAAATGTAATAATTTCATTTTACCTTGCCGTTCTATGCACGTTGATACTGTACATCTGGCGTGCTAATACATTGTAGTGTTGACCGGCATCTGACGTCCATGCCTTGTTGCAGTTAGTGTTGACCTGATTACATAAATTACATTATAACTATTGATTATATGAGCATACTTACTGATGTTGCACCGTGGAAGTGACAGATTTTTTTTTTTTTTTTTGGTTTTCTTATCTCACTCGGGACACGCGTCGTCAACCTGACCGGATCGGTTTTTGAGGTTATATAACGCAAGGCTTTTTTTTTTTTTTTTTTTTATAGTCAGGAAATTTGCCTCAACCAAACTTCGCCGTCCTGACCCCTGAGGAGGGTCAGAGGCTTTGTGGTGGATTCCGCCCGTAGTATCCCGAGGGACTATCGGGCGGGGGACCGACCTAAAACCTGACTGAAGCCCCTGGTCGTATGGGTATTGTCCACCGCGGAACCGCGTTAGCATAACTTCACGGTGGACACCCGACCGGCGTCCTTTAGAAGGACACATCCCCCGAGAGGATACTACAGGTATCCCCCGGAGAGGACATCCCTTGCCCCGAAAGGGCATCGAGGGAGCCGGGCTACTAGCTCCCCCGGACTTCCCAGGGTCGACGTGCAATGAGAGCGGGGCCCCCACCCCTCTCTCTGCCAACCCGGTAAGTGAGGTGACCGCAGTCACCCACCCACACACGAAACGTCACAGGACGATTATAGTACATAACGTGCACGAAACATTACACAAACCACATTAATACATAGTAAGGGCCACAGGCCCAGCCCCCAAGGGAGCCCACAACAAGACGCTATGGCCAACCACAATAAAGGTGGAGGGTTGTTACTCCACCTATGACAAAGGACAATAAAACTATGAACAACATAAACTTGGCGCGGGTGAAGAGGCCGCGGAGTCACCTCTCGGCAACCTCCCCGGCGCTCCATCACCCATCGCCGCAACCTACAACATAAACTTGGCGGGGCAGGGAGACCACGGAGTCACCTTTCGGCAACCTCCCGGAACTCCCCGCACCCACCGCTACACACTACGACAACAACGGACAAAACCGACACTAAACATCGGGGGCAGAACTGCAGCCCGGCACGGGGAGCCGCCTCTCCGCGACTTCCCCCGCCCCCGGCCACAGTCCACCCTCGTCCACTCCGGGCTCGCTGGCCCCCCATCGGGGCGCCCCGGAGCCTGAACGCGCTCTGCAGCAGGCGCGCTCTCCCGACACCTCTTAGGAGGCACGCGCACGCGAGCGCAAACCGTCGACCCACAGCGATGTCCAGAGGGTTTCCCCCTGGACGCACACGAATGACATCGGGGCGGCGCCACGCAATTGGCCGCCTTATGCCCCGAGCCACCACATCTGTAGCAGTTGTTACTGCGTCTACACCTGCGCCACAAGCATTGGCCGAGTGACCAAACTCGTGGCACCGAAAACATTGGAGTGGACGACGAGCCAGATGGATAACCTCCAGCGTCGTCCACCCCCCCCTCGATGGATAACCTTCTTGCCATCACCAATTTCCGCGCCACACTAGCGGGGCAGCGGATCCAAATCGTACCCTCGAACGAATTGGGGAACAGACGAATTCCTCCAGCCCTAAGGTCCTCCACACTACAGCCCCCAAATAGAGCGACCTCTTCTAGGATTTTCTGCCTCTTCACCGAGTACATAGAGCCCCTCAGCCGAACGTCCTCCATTCGGGAAGGGCGACCGACTCTAACGCACCCGGATGGAAACACGTCTCTTAACTTAGACGTAAGTACGTCTGCTCTCGATGCCGAGTCCTTTCCCAGAACAGTCAGTAGTATACTACCCGTTACACCCCTTCGTAAACGCATGGAGCTAATCTCTAATTCCTTTATATCTATTTTTGACTTAGCCTCGGACAGAACCGAGGCATAAGTCCTCCCTTTTTTCATCTCCCCCTCCCCAATCGTCAGCGATATCACCGACGAGGAAGGGGGACGAGAAATACGGGTCTCCTTCTTTCCCTTAAGGGAGAGGGACTTACGAGTCCCTTTTTTCTCCTTCAGAGACGGGGTAACCGTGGGAAGATCTTTAACCCCTGCACCCGACCGCCTCCTACGCCTACTACGCCTAATCCTCGTGGTGACCCCACGGACAGAGGCATCCGCCAAGACCTCCACATTAGTGGAAGCAGCGGAGCCCCCAGCCAAGGGACGAATCACCGGCACAAACGAGCCACCACCTACGCTACCAGCCGGAGCACGTCTGTGAGCACTCCCCCAGGAAGGGGAGAGGCCCCAGCCCATCTCCGCGAGCTCTGACCTAATAGCGGTCATAACAGATACGGATATGTCGTCCCTCAAGTCGCTAAAGCGACGATCCAAAAGGGACGACAGATCCGAGGCCATAACAGGGCGATCCTCCACCAAAGGGGTCGCCGCGCCGCCTTCGAATCCTGCGGGGACCCCCCGAAGAAACAGGGAGGGGCCCCTTGTTCGCATTCCTCTCCGTAAAATACATACCCTCAATTTGAGGGATTGCAGAACGGAGAAATCCCAGCTCAGAGGTCAGCCGATCAACCTCTCGTTCCAATGGCCGAAATACGTCCTCTCAGGCCCTGATTTTCGATCCTCAGTGCCTCCATACCCGGATCCGGATCCACCGTGGATCGATTTACCGCCTCTCCAACTATGTCACCCAGTCTCCTTGAGGATACCCGGAGCTCCCCGGCCATGGCATCTCCAAGACCAGGGAGTCCAGCCACCCTCTCAACTTGGGTAACAAATTTCCCCGCCAACCTGCGAAGCTCCGTGGTGGTGACACCCTGGAGTTCCCTGCAGAACACCGCATCCGTGGGAGTGTTATCAGCTCCCATGGCAGTGAGTATTGGACCAAAGGAAGGGTCCAATACCCTACGCGCATAATCTATTTTGAGCGCCTCCTTTTCCGCGATATTGAGGCGCTCCCTCTCATTCGCGAGATTGGAGTACTCCCCCGTTTTTATGGGGCGACCCCTCTTACGCGCAGTGCACTTACCTGCCAGTTTACGCGGGTATTGCTTACGTCCCGTAAGCGCCCTTTTTATCCTCGGGAGCCCACGATATATCCCTTTCGGATCTGCCCTTCTTAGTTTCTGGGGAGCTAGCGATGACAGCGAAACAAACGACGGCTCACCCACCTTCCACATTCTCATCACTACTAGGACCCCTCAGCACCTCTGGAGAGGGAAGGGATCGAGAGCAGCTACTCTCACCACCAGTTAGTGACGAACAGGGAAACCGCGCACAATCACTCCCTGTTTCGCTCGGCGTGCTCACTTCACTGTCACTAGCAGCAAAGTGTTCAAAAGTCTTGACACATTCGTGAAAGCGACAAAACTGTGTCTTTCCTTGTGCACAGTTCCTCAAAAGTTTTCGGCATAATTGGCCAGAGTATAATACCCGCCAATATACCGAAACTCGCGCACCTCTTTATCCAACAAAAATTGTTGGAGGTCCAATGCAAGATCCTGTGGATCCACATTCTCGTCCAGGTCCTCCCAGGTCACAGCCAGATTGATGAAACAGTTTGTCCATCTCATCCTCTAGCCGTTTCGACACTGTAGCCAACTTGTCTGCGGACCCAGTCGACAAATCCGCAGACGACCTGTCGTCTGTTGACGACGAGGGGAGAGCCAGGCCTACACCCCCCCCCCACGCCGGTTCCCGGTACCCGAACCCGGGACGTTCGCTTCTTTTCTTGAACTCATCATCTGAAAAAGAAAGAAATTGGTTTTTTCTGTCAGGGGTTTTCCTTCCTCTTAGGAGGTTGCCTTACTCGGCTAACGGGGCCTCCCCCCGGGTGTTATCTTCGGTGTTTTCCTTCACCTAGTGCAGTGGACAAGTCCTTTTTAGGGCCTGCACGCCATCACACCCCATTCATCCTTCGCACGCACTCCAGCTCGGGTACCTCGGGATTGCGACACCCGTACACTACAGGGATGAGTCTGCAGTGCCCCTGAGGGAATATAACGCAAGGCTAGGGTAGAGGGCGCCTTTCTTTTTTTTTTTTTTTTTTTTAAATTACTCGCATCTGCGAGCCCAGTAAGTTTTTAAATAATTCTGTTCAATTTCTTGATAAAATTGAATATAACACCAAATTTCTTCCAATCTTTTTTCTTCAGGATGTCTGTAACGCTTTCCACTCCGTCGATATTCCTGCTACTTAAGATGTCTCCCATTCTCATTCTCTCTTCGTCGTATCGATGACATCGCCAAATCACGTGATCGATATCCTCATATTCGTAGCCACAATCACATCTTGTGTCATTTATATAGTTTTTCCTTGCTAACGATGCATTTAAATTATAATGATTCGCTCTTAATCTATTTACAAAGGTTACAAAATATCTTTCCTCGTTAAAATGTTCAAACCACGGTATTTTACTGTTCCTATCATAAAAGTTAGAAAAATAGTACTTTCCTTTCAATCTAGAATCTCTAATAACATATTCTTGTGTTCTTATCCACGCTTCATTTTTATATATATTTCTTAAATCTCTAATAGGAATATCAAATTCAACATTTGCCGGTTCCTGGGTGCCTGCTTTTGCTAGGAAATCTGCAATTTCATTTCCCGAGATTCCATAGTGAGATGGAATCCATACAAACAATATATTCTTAAAATAAAGATCTTTAAATCGACTATATAGCCTTCTTATTTCAAGAACATACTTATTTTTATATACATTAATATTATTTTGAGAGATAGCTTGAAGAACGGACTTCGAGTCAGAAAATATAACTACATTATTGAAGGAATTCCTTCTACTTTCTGCAATCTTTAGAGCTGTAGAAATTGCTATTGCCTCTACCGTAAATATTGTGCATTCCTTAGGTAAACTAATATAATAACCTTCGTCTTGCTCCTCAATGGCTATACCAGCACCTGTTGATTGAGCCGTTATGTCTTTAGAACCGTCAGTATACATAATAAAAGTTTTATTATCTAACTTATATCTCTGTTTAATTTCGTTAATCATTTTAATATCTAAAGTCCTATATCCTTTTATTTTACTAATATCACAGTCACTTTTTTTCCTTTTTTTTTAATGATCTTGCCGATTTCAAAATCTATATTTATCGCATTAGTCAGGGAGCTATATTCCATGTTCCATATTTCAAAAGTGTGTTCTTGGGCACCTAGTCTGTTGCTAAAACGACGCGTATACTCCCATGCTTCACTAATAGTACTCTTATTAAAACTTGGATTTCTATATCTTGCAAACATCTCTTTGTTTAGAAGGTTATTAAGACTATTTCTAAGTGTATTTTCTCCATATTTAAATATTTTGCTACAAAAATTTTTAGCTAACATCAAAGCTCTATCTTTTAATAAAATAACCTTGGATTCTGCAATCAACACATTATTTGGCGTGCTATTTCTATATCCTAAAGCAGTACGAATTCCCAGGAATTGGCCCCTTTCTAATTTAAGTTGAACAGATTTTGAAGTTGGACTATACACAAACAAACCGTAATCCATAACTGATCTTACTATACTTTTATATAGAATCAAAGCAGTATTCACTTCTACGCCTCTAGTTATATTACTAAGGTATTTCATAATATTATTAGCTCTACTAACTTTGCCTCTAATATCACTAACTTGTTTATCAAAATCCAGCTTATTATCTAACCAAATTCCTAGAAATCTAGCTCCCTGATTATTAAAAATTCTTGTTTTCTTAACATTAATAGAGAGCCTTTTATCACAGAATCCCTTTTTAGAAAATTCCACCAGATTTGTTTTATGTGGTGCCAAGTCTAGTTTTAGAATTTCTAGATTCTTCGCTATTCTATTAACTGCTACCTCCAAGTTTATTTTATTTTCAAATCTGTTGGAACTTTGTACATATACCGCGATATCATCCGCAAATTGTACTATTTGGACTGAATTTTCCAATCTGGAAGTCAATTTATTCGTGTATAACGCATATAGAATAGGGCTAAGAACTGCTCCCTGTGGCAAGCCTTTGTTAACTTTTCTAATTTCTACTCTTTGGTTATTAATCACAAAAGATGTATCACGAGGTTCTAACCATCTACTAATAAAATTGTAAATACCCGTTGGACACTTTTCCCTTCTTAATTTCTCTATTAATATATCAAAGTCTACATTATCGTACGCCGCTGAGACGTCCAAGAAAGCCGCTAAGGTGTAATTGTCGGCCAGATTCGTTCCACGAACATCCGATACTAGCTTTACTAAATTTTCCATACATGATCTCCCCCTACGGAATCCATTTTGCATTGATGATAGCTTTTTTTCTTTTTCTAGCCACCAAATAAGTCTTTCGTTTATCAGTCTTTCCATTAATTTTCCTACACATGAAGAAAGTGCAACAGGTCTGACTTTTTCTTTTCCTATTTTATCAATAAACAAAATCTGATAGTTTCTCCAATCCGACGGAAACCAATCCCTCATCCAAATTTCATTGAACAACCTTAGAAGTAATTGTTTGCCAATTTTCGGTAGGTTTTTTAGCATTATATAATCTATTCCGTCTAACCCTGGAGCTGAGTTTCTTTTAATCATCCATAGGGCACGGGAGAGCTCTTCCATAGAAAACATCCTATTCAACTCCTCTCTATCTGTCGTATTTGTTATCCGTCTTGTTGTTTTTTCCTCTGCAACCCATGGAGGAGCAAGTTCTTCAATCGTATTCCATATTTCTTGTTCTCTATCTTTATGTTGCCAAACGTTCCAGTTAATCTTATTTCTTACATTCTTATATATACGCATTGAATTCCAAACGTACTTCATACTAGTATGTTTATTAATACTATTACAAAATTTAATAAAATCTTCTTTTTTCTTTCTATTGATGACTTTTCTAGCTAGTGCGCGACTTTTTTTGAATTCAATAAAATCCTCCACTTTTCCTGTCCGTTTCCATATCTTTAGTTTTTTTTTCTATTCTCTATTATCTCTGAGCATTCATTATCCCACCATTTAACAGGTTGTCTGAGCTTACACGCATCAATTCTATTATTTACATTAGAGTTATTATCTATACATTTGTCAGTTTTTTTACCTGTTGCTAACATGGCTGCTTTTTTGATAATATCTATAAATATTTTATATTTCTCCTCCAAATTACCACAATCAATCGATCTGTCCTGGATTTTTTGTAAATCCTCCTCTACCTTGTTCTTAAAAGACCTCCAATCTGTGTTTTTGTTTGTAATTCTATTTGTTCTTTTTTTATATTGTGAAATAATACTATTAACACTAATCTCTATTGGATAATGATCAGATCCCCATGTATCTTTTATTTGTACATATTCTAGCTTTCCTATTAGGTCTCTATTAGCAAATGCCAAATCAATATTAGAAGCAGACTGATTGTAGTAATTTAGCCGAGATTTAGTATCATTATTTATACTAACGTAGCCTTTGTTAAACATTGTTAAGTATAAATTTTCTCCGTTTTTGTCTATTCTATCACAATTCCAAATAGTATGGTGGGAGTTGAAATCGCCCAAAATAATTGAATTGTCATCGACTCCTTTAAATTTTAATATATCCTGCCATGAAGTAATTGTTTCTGAACCATATGGTTTTCTATAGACCGCTATTAAATTGAAGTTGTTATTTGTATTTTTAATTTTAATACCGATAGCTTCTATGTTTGGGGAGGAGATGTTCCATTCTTCAATAACTTCGAAATCAATGTTATTTTTAACTAAAATTGCAACTCCACCACTATTAGTTGCATTGTTAGATTTATATGTCTTAAATCCTGAAAAATATAAAATATTATTTCTGTTCAATTTAGTTTCAGTAATAACTACAATATCGTACGGAATAATATTGTTTTTTAATTCTGATTTCTTGTTTTTTATACCTCCTGCATTCCATAAAAGTATGGTAGACATTGGTTAGTCTTAATAGCTCTTATCTTCTTTTTTATTTCTATCTTCCCAATAGTTTCTTTTCATATTCTGTCTTACCATCTTAGCTTTGGTTAATTCTTCTTGATATTTCTCCATTTTCCTCTTTCTTACATATATTTCTCTGTTATTTTCTTCTTGTCGAATATCCTCTTCTTCATTATAATTGGAAATCGGTCCAAAGGTATTCTATGTTTATGTAACAAATTTGCAAAGTCTCTGTTAAAGTCTTCAGACTCTTTACATTTACCCTTCATAATTTGAGCTAAGAATTCACTTCTTTTTTGTAAAGGCTCCTCGATTTTTTTTTGGAATTCTCTATAATAATTTAAGTACGCCTGTCTTCCTTCCTCAATTTTTTCTTTTTCTCTTCTGAATGCTTCTCGTTCTTTGGGTTTGTGTGTATAACCTTGTCCTTCTCTCGGAGGGCCATGTATAACCGTTGGGTTTTCTTTTTCTTTTCTGAAATCATTTTTTACAATATTTTGTTTTAGCTTAGGCCATGCGCTTGGATTGGTGTACCTATCATATTTCGGAATTATTTGTTCATAGTTCTTCCCAGTAATCAATCTTTCAGCCTCTGTGAATGAGATATTATTATATGCCATAATAACTTTTATTTCCTTATTTCTTAGAAAAACTGGACAATTTCTTGCGGTGGATCTATGATCTCCTCCGCAATTTCTACACGTAGTCAACCTGTTGCACTCTCCGTGTGCATTTTCTCCACAAATAATGCATCTAACCTCTCTCTTACAATGTGTTTTGATATGACCAAATATGAAACATTTGAAACATTGAACCACTGGTTCTACATATGGTCTGATTCTTAGACTTATGTGTAAATTATTAAAAATTGTTAAACTATCTTTAATTTTATTCCCTTTCATAGTTATAATAAAATTATTCGTATTGACTACCTCGTATTTCTTATCCGTTTTATTCCAAATTCTTTTTTTCATTTTCTCTATTTTTAATATATCTTCCCTCTCAACTATATTTTCCCATAATTCTGGTATCTCGAACGGCCAGTCGACAATTACACCTCTACACGTAACTAACTTTTTATCTATAAAACCGGTGAGCCATTTATTTTCTACTTTGTCTATTTTGTCTAAACAATCATTAGCTTCTTTTGCATTTTTAAAACTTATTGTTGATAGATTAAATTTTATCATTTCTATATTAATAGGGAATACCCCATTCTTATTGCACCACAGTAAAATTTTTGTACAGTTCTTACCCCTATTTGACATAACATGATCTGTGTTAATTTTACAATTAATTTTACATACATTTGTAATTTTGCTATCATATCTCTGATTGTTTAAACGAAATATTTTGTCATAGGTTTCTTTATCTATATCGCTAACTTTCTCAAGAATACCGTTAATCACGACAAAACTATCTGACTTTATGACCTTATTTATATTCGTTACTTGTTTGTTGACATTTTCCTGTTCCTTTCGGTTGGTTGTTTGTGTATCGTCCTCTGCATTCCTTGTCCTGGTACTTGGTTCTTGGCTCGAATCTATAATCTCCTCCGACAGCTCCATATCTGCATCTTTGTCTGGTTGATTCACGCTTGATTGCGAACCTGTTTCCTTAATTGAACTGCTTGCTCTTAATTGTAATTTACTTGTTACGTTACTCTCCTCGTCATTCTCTGTCTCTATCATGTCCTCTATACTATCCAAAACTCTCGGCTCCTTGCTCTTCCTTTCTCGTTCGTTTTGCCACTCTCCTTAGATATGGGTTGAATCTATTCCCTCGTCCGATCGGGGGAATTTCTGACATCGTCCAGCTGTTCCTTTTGTTCGGTCAACTTTATGATCCTCAAAACTGGGACAACTCAACTACCCCGCGCTTGCTATAACCTCTTAACCAGAGATAAATTACTCGATCACTCTGTGCGTCCGATCGCTAGCACGGTCGGAACGCGACTCTGGAAGTGACAGATTGTGTTTCTGAGGTTATGGTCTCTCTCGGGACTACCATCGACATATAGAATGGATGAGCTTGCGATATGTAAACGCGCGCCTGCTTT